AGAGTTTCACCACATTGGCCAGGCTGGTCTGGAACCCCTGACCTCAAGTGATCTGCCTGCCTTGGCCACCCAAAGTACTAGGATTACAGGTGTGAGCCACCATGCTCAAGCTAGGTTTTTTTTAAATCAAAATTTAAAAAATCAATTCTGCTAAAAGGCTGCTACCTCACAGATTGAATACCAAGCTGCTACACAGGAGCTTAAGAGGCCAGGCAGGCTCCTCCCTGCTACACAAGGCACGAACTTCCCCTGCCTCTTCTCCCAGTGCCCAGGTGGGTCCTCAGTCTTTTGCGGGCAGGTTCCCTTATCTGCACAAAAGCATCGGAGGTAAACACTTGTGGGGTCAGTCAGAGATTCTCCGGGGACCCCCTTTATCTGCCTCCTGCATCTATCACTAGCAGGACCTCATATAATTTTTGTGTGACTTAAAGAAGTATGCCAGACATGGTGGTTCACATGTGTAATCCCAGCACTTTGGGAGGCCAAAGCAGGAGGATCACTTGAGCCCAGAGTTCAAGACCAGCCTGGGCAACATGGTGAGACCTTAATCTCTACAAATAAAAAATAATTAGCTGGGTGTGGTGGCACATGCCTGTTGTCCCAGTTACTTGGGAGGCTGAGCTGGGAGAATCACATGTGCCCCAGAGGTCAAGGTTGCAATGAGTTGTGATGATCCCATAGCCCTCCAGCCTGAGTGACAGAGTGAAACCCCGTCAGAAAAAAAACAATATACTGGCAGAGTCCTCATACCAGGATTTCTCATTTTCCTACAATGTATAGTATTAATAGGCATGGTGGGAAAAAAAAAGTAGGCATCCTAGTAGCATTTTTTCTTCAACTGTCAACAGTGAACATGACAAGGAGTTAGATCTCACACATGTTGTGTGCTCTCCACTTCTGCTGACTGTAGAATGAAAACAAACGTGCTGTTGTAGGGATCAGTGTCCTTCAGTGATGTGGCTGTGGGCTTCACCAAAGAGGAGTGGCAGCATCTGGACCCTGCTCAGAGGACCCTGTAGAGACGTGATGTTGGAGAACTACAGCCTCCTCATCTCATGGATAAGGATTGTGTAATTTGAAACTCCAAATAACATTGATTTCCTTTTTAGCTGCTGATTACAGATGATTTCTTTGTATGATTATGAGTTAAAGGGTTGAGACTTAGGAGTTGAAGCTTGATTGATCCCTTTTGGACACTTAAGAATATCTGTGGTGTTTTCTGTAATGAAATGTTCAGGTGGACCTTTTTTTGTGCAGGCACACCTCAGGCTACCTGGCCCACATCCTGTGTCATTTTCATTCACAGGGTATCGCATTACTAAACCAGAGGTGATTTATAAGTTGGAGCATGGAGAGTCCCTGTGGATATTAGAGGAAGAATCCCCAAGTCAGAGCTACCTAGGTGAGTTAATAAGTATATAGGAAGCTATAAACCAGGGAGAAATTGAATCCTAGGGAGATAGTTCACATATTGACACCTTTAACATTTTTCAGAAATATGTTTTTAGAGTTACCAGAATTTTGGAAGCAACTGAGAAGAGCTGGCCTGCTTGCCTCAGATGTACATATTACACTAGCAGATAACAGCTAAATGGTCTTTGTTTTCTTCTGAAAATTTTAATCCTTGCCTTTCTCATTTTAGTCAAACGAATGTCAAATGACATTCGTTTGACTCTTCCTCTATATCAATTTCAGTTATCTTATTTTTATCATGTATTATGTATTTATTCAATAAGTATTAATTTGGCAGCTACAATGTTGTGGTTCCATCTGTGTTAGAGACATAGCTCTAACATCATGGCTGTGTTCTAGTGGTAGAAGAGATTGAGATGTAGTATGCTCTTCATGTAAGGGCCTCTTTGAAGTCAGTAGTTTAATAAACACATGTTTGAATCGTGTGTGTCAGTGGAATATTATGGCCAGATGGTATACTCTGTGCCATGAACCTTAGGCCAGAGTGCCATGAGCAGGACAGCAGTGAGCTGGGCTGGATGGAAGTGAGGGGTGATGGGGGTATGTGGGAGATGCTGCCAGACAGACTGCTCACTGGGCTGCTGTTATGTTCAGAAGTTGTAGCCAAAACAGAATTTGCTGCTAAATTGGATTATAGGTATAAGAAAAAGATAATAAGCATGATCTCAAAGGTTTTATGCTGAGGCACTGGATATGTGATGATACCATTAACTGGTTGGGAGAAAATGGGGGAGAAACAGTTTTGGGAAGACATAAGTAAAGAGATAGACACATAAATTCAAACAAATGTTCTTTGTATAAAATATAATGACGCCCAGTTGGATATAAAACAATAAAAATAAAATACTGAAAAATGACCCAACATGTGAATCAGTTACTAGTTGATCTAAATTGTGTTCTAAAATCCTTTCTTTCTTTTTTTTTGTTTTTTGAGGCATAGGCTGGAGTGCAGTGGTGCAATCTTGGCTCACTGCAACCTTCGCCTCCCAGGCTCAGAGATTCTCATGCCTCAGCCTCCCAAGTAGTTGGGACCACAGGTGTGTACTACCATGCCTGGCTAATTTTTGTATTTTTAGTAGAGATGTGGTTTTGCCATGTTGGCCAGGCTGTTCTCAAACTCCTGGCCTCAAGTGATCTTCCCCCCTTGGCCTCCCAAAGTACTGGGTTTACAGGTGTGAATCACTGTGTCAGGCCTTAAATTCCTTTCATTGTTAAGAAGAAATATTGTTGCATTAAATATAAATGGTAACATGTAATGGGTAAATGCTAAAAGAAAGAATTAAGTTCTAAATTTTAAAGAGAAGAAAATGGAAAAGAAAAAAAATGTTGGATTAGAAAAACTAAAAAATGAAAGAGTGGGGAAAATCAGGTGAAAATTAGAACAACTGGAAACTCTAAGTGAAAAAGAGAAAACCAGTCCAGATATTTTAGAAATTATAATACATTTGAAGAGGCTAAACCATCTTATTAAAAGACAGATATTGTCAAATTGGATTTTCAAAAACCAAGATATATAGGCTCAGCGTGGTGGCTCACTCCTGTAATCCCAGCTCTCTGGGAGTCCAAGCCAAGATGATTGCTTGAGGTCAAGAGTTTGAGACCAACCTAGGCAGCATAGTGAGGAACCAGGTCTATGAAATATAAAAAATTAGGCCAGGTGCAGTGGCTCAGGCCTGTAATGCCAGCACCTTGGGAGGCCAAGGTGGGCAGATCACCTGAGGTTGAGAGTTCAAGACCAGCCTGAACAACATAGAGAAACTCCATCTCTACTAAAAATATAAAGTTATCTGTGTGTGGTGGCATATGCCTGTAATCTCAGCTATTCAGGAGGCTGAGGCAGGAGAATCACTTGAACCCGGGAGGCGGAGCTTGCGGTGAGCCAAGATGGTACCATTGCACTCCAGCCTGGGCAACAAGAGCGAAACTGTGTCTCAAAAAAAATAATTAAATAAATTTTAAAAATTAAAAATTAGCCAGGCATGGTCATACACCAGTAGTCTCAGTTTTGGGAGGCTGAGGTGGGAGGATTGCTTGAGCCCAGGTGTTTGAAGTTGCAGTGAGCTATGATCATGCCACTGCACTCCAGTCTGGATGACAGAGTGAGACCCTGTCTCTAAAAACAAAACAAAAATCAAGATATATGGAGTTTGAGAATCATATATGATATATGAACAGAAAACCTTAGAATATAAAAGGAATATAAATGATATATGGTCTAAATAATAAAAAAAATAGAATGTTACCTCTCAGTGGACACAAATTTAGCTTTTGACTTTATTTTTGACATATTTCTTCCTTTTTTTTTTTCTTATGAGGTGGAGTTGCCCAGCTCTGTCACTCAGGCTATAGTGCAGTGGTTGGCACAAATATATATATATATATATATATATATATATATATATACTTATACATATATATATACACATACTTATACATATATATGTAAATATACACATATGTATGTGTGTGTGTGTATATATATATACTTATACATATATATATATATATATATTTGTACTGATGGGGTCTTGGTGTATTGCCCAAGGTGGTCTTGAACTTCTGGCCTTAAGCAATTCTTCTATCTCTGCCTTCCAGAATGCTGGATTTAGAGGTTTGATTTACCATGCTTGGCCTATTTATATTTTTCAACTGAATGAAACTCATTCTATTTTTGCTGTTATATGAGTAAATTGGTCCCATTTATAATCTAAGAAGCATTATACTATTTTAGTAATCTAGTTTTCTTAAGTTTGAGACATTTTGCTATGTTATTTTCTTAGCAATTATTTCAAAATTATTCATCAATTATGTCCAACTGTGGTAAAATAAACTAAAATAGAAAAGAATAGAATGATGGAATTGCTTATAAGGATAATATGATAGTGAAGAACATTGTCACTCTTATATCTCCTTCAATTTTCTTATTAAATTGCTTGAAGTATTGCATCACTTATGAAGAAAATATGAAAGAAGCCTGCAGAAACCTTATTTGTAGCTTATTTCTTTTTTTAAATTCTTATTTATTCATTTATTTTTGAGATGGAATCTTGCTCTGTTGCCCAGGCTGAAATGCAGTGGTGTGATCTCAGCTCACTGCAACCTCTGCCTTTTGTGTTCAAGCGATTCTCCTACCTTAGCCACTGAGTAGCTGGGACTACAGGCACCCGCCACCATGCCCCAGCTAATTTTTTTTTGTATTTTTACTGGAGATGAGGTTTGCCATGTTGGCCAGGCTGATCTCGAACTCCTGACCTCAGGTGATCCACCTGCCTTGGCCTCCAAATGTGCTGGGATTACAGGCATGAATCACCACTCCTGACTCTCTTACATTTTATTTTTTTGAGACAACATCTCACTCTGTCTCCCAGGATGGAGTGCAGTGACATCATCTCGGCTCGCTGCAACCTCCATCTCCCTGGTTTGAGCAATTCTCCTGCCTCAGCCTCCTGAGTAGCTGGAATTGCAGACGCGTGCCACTACACTTGGCTAATTTTTGTATTTTTAGTAGATATGGGGTTTCACCATGTTGGTCAGTCTGGTTTTGAACTCCTGACCTCGTGATCTGCCCACCTCAGCCTCCCAAAGTGCTGGGATTATAGGTGTGAGCTACTGCATCTGTCCTCTCTCTCTCTCTTTTTTTTTTAATAATTCATTGGGCAAAGTTGAGAGTTCAGAACTTTTCTTTTTTTCTGTTAATTGCAAAGAGTAGAAAATTGACAAGAGGAAGACTTTTCATAATTTTCAAGCACTGTAGATGCTAATAATTATGGTTTAATTGATTGTATAACTGAAATCTCAGACTATAAGTTAGATGATGATATTCTAGATGAATAAAGGTATACATATTATGCTGTTATAAGAACAACCTGGGCCAGTCGCTGTGGCTGACACCTGTAATTTCAGCATTCTGGGAGGCCAAGGCAGGAGGATTGCTTGAGCCCAGGAGGTCAAGGCTGCAGTGAGCTGTGATGCTGCCACTGCATTACAGCCTGGGCAACAGGAGTTCAAGACCAGCCTGGGTAACATGGCAATGGCAAAACTCCATCTTTACAAAAAATACAAAAAATTAACCAGACATGGAGGTACATACTTGTAATCCCAGTTACTTGAGAGGCTGAGGTGGGAGGATCACCTGAGCCCAGGAAGTTGAGGCTGCAGTGAGCTATGATCTCACCACTGCACAATCCAGCCTGGGTAACAGAGCCAGACACTGTGTCAAAAAAAGGCATGTGAATATGTCTTCTTTTCATAAGATATATGTTAACATTTTTTTTTTCATTTCACCTTTATTGATTATCCAAGACCCCAGTATAACAATTAACCCAACAGATTTTGTTCCTATGAATGGTCAGAGTATTCTGTTTGAATTGACAAAAAAGGCTTCAGATTTTAGGTTTTGAGAGTTTTTTTTCTACCTGATCTAGTCTATCATTGAAGCTTTTGAGTGTACTTTTTATTTCATCCATTGATTTCCTCAGTTCCAGATTTGCTGTGTACGCTGGAAAACTCAGTATCTGGTTGGTAGCCATGTCAGCCATATCCAGAACTGCTAGTGACATTTTGTTCCTTTGTTTATTTTATTTTTTTTTTGAGACGGAGTTTCACTCATGTTACCCAGGCTGGAGTGCAATGGCGCGATCTCGGCTCACTGCAACCTCTGCCTCCTGGGTTCAGGCAATTCTCCTGCCTCAGCCTCCCGAGTAGCTGGGATTACAGGCACGCACCACCATGCCCAGCTAATTTTTTGTATTTTTAGTAGAGACGGTGTTTCACCATGTTGACCAGGATGGTCTCGATCTCTTGACCTCGTGATCCACCCACCTTGGCCTCCCAAAGTGCTGGGATTACAGGCTTGAGCCACTGCACCCGGCCTATTTTTAAGAAATCTCTTGTATCCCCCTAATCTTGGTTAAAATTAGTATGCCCAGTTCTCTATCTGACATAAGAAATATGTTAACATTGATAATCTATGGTAACTTATTCTTGTTTCTAGACTGCTGCATAGATGATGACCTGATGGAGGTGAGACAGGAAAATCAAGACCAGCATTTGCGGAAAGTTGATTTTGTCAACAACAAAATGCTTACTAAGGACAGGAATGGTGTATTAGGAAAAACATTTTATCTTCACACAAACTCCATTCTATTAAGAAAAATACGTAGCAACTGTGACTCATATGGAGTGAGTTTGAATTATATTTAAGAATTAATTATTAGTAATAGAAGCTCCTTTGTAAGGAAGCCTGATAAGTATAATGCACATGGGGAATTTCTCCTCTGTACGAAGCAGGAGAATCCTTATACCAGAGGGAAACCTTTGGAATATGATAGAAATAGGAAAGGCATCGCTCAGAATGAGGACCCATTTAGTCATCAGTATATTTAAATTCTGAAGCAGTGTTTTGAATATAATCAGTGTGGGAAGGCTATTCATGAAGAGGCAGCCTGCAGTAAGAGAGTATGCCCATGGGAGAAGCCCTGTGACTATAATGAACATGTGAGAACCTTTTCCAATAGACCAATATTCATTGTTCATCAGAGAACTCACATAACGGGGAATCACTGTGAATTCAGGGAATGTGAGTGGAGGTCTGCTGGTGAGAAGCCACCTGTAAAAAAACACCACAGAGTTATAGAGATGAAACATTATGAGTGTAATGTGAGTGAGAATCCATTTGGCAAGAAATTACGCCTCTTTCAATGAAGTTACAGAGGAGAGAAAACTTTTGACTGTAATAGAGATTTGGAAGTACTCTGCAAGAAGCCAAATTTCACTCAGCATCAAGAAACACATATAGGAAAGAATGCCTATAAAATTAATCAGTATGCTAGTATATTTTGCAATAAGCCAAAGCTTTCTGTATATCAGAAAACAGATGTAGGAGAAAAACTCTATGAATGTAGTGAATGTGGGAAAACCTTCAGCCGTAAATCCTCTTTCATCCTATATCAGAGGATACACAGAGGAGAGAAACCCTATGAATGCACTGAATGTGGGAAAACTTTTGGATATAGGTCATGCCTTGCAGTACATCAAAGAACACTTTACAGGGGAGAAACCCAATGAATGTGGAAAAAAATTCTGTGAGAAGTCAAATCTTCATGTACATCAGAGAGCACACACAGGAGAGAAACCCTATGAATGTAATGAATGTCAGAAAGCGTTCGGTGATAGGTCAGCTCTAATAGTACATCAGAGAATACATACTGGCCAGAAACCCTATGAATGTAAGGAATGTGGGAAAACTTTCTCCCAGAAGCCAAACTTCATTAATCATGTGATTAATGAACTCACATGGGAGAGAAACCCTATGAATGCAGAGAATGTAAAAAAGCCTTCTCTGTGAAGTCAAAACTTAGAGAACATTGGAGAATTCACATAGGGGGGAAACCCTATAATTGTAATGAATGTGAGAACACGTTCTACCACAAGTCATCCCTTACAGTACATCAAGAGAACTCACACAGGAGAGAAACCCTATGCATGTAGTGAATGTGGGAAAACCTTGTACCAGAAGTCATCCCTCACAACACATCAGAGAACACACACAAGGGAGTAATCCTATGAATGTAATGAAACATTTTACCAGAATCCTGACTTGAAACATCAAAGAGACAACATAGAGGAAACCCCTGTCAACATCCTGAAGGCTCAGAAACCTTCACCTTCTTGTTGGACTCATTCCATAGCAGAAGCAACCCAGAGTGGGGGTAGAACACCCAATAAAGATGATAAATCTTTTGCCTAGAGGTGATATTTCATTGAACAGCAAATAATTAATATTTTCTTTCTTTTTTTTTTTTTTTTGAGATGGAGTTTCGCTCTTGTTGCCCAGGCTGGAGTGCAATGGCACGATCACAGCTCACTGCAACTTCCACCTCCCAGCTTCAAGCGATTCTCCTGCCTCAGCATTCTGAGTAGCTGGGAGTACAGGCATGTACCACCATACCAGCTAATTTTGTATTTTTAGTAGAGACAGGGTTTCTCCATATTGGTCAGTCTGGTCTCGAACTCCCAACTTCAGGTGATCCGCCTGCCTTGGCTTCCCAAAGTGCTGGTATTATAGGCATGAGCCACTATGCCTGATCCTTCTTCTTCTTCTTCTTTTTTTTTTTGAAGCAGAGTCTCATTCTGCTGCCCAGGCTGGAGTGTGGTGGCATGATCTTGGTTCACTGTGACATCCCACTCCCGGGTTCAAGGTGTTCTCATGCCTCAGCCTCCCAAGTAGCTGGGACTACAGACAGGTGCCACCATGCCCAGCTAATTTTTGTATTTTTTGTAGTGACAGGGTTTCACCATGTTGGCCAGGCTGGTCTGGAACTCCTGACCTCGAGTGATCTGCCTGCCTTGGCCTCCCAAAGTGCTGGGATTACAGGTGTGAGCCACCATGCCTGGCCAATAATTGATATTTTATTTTTATTTATTATTTGTTTTTGAGATGGAGTCTGTAGCCCAGGCTGGAGAGCAGTGGTGTGATCTCGGCTTACTGCAACCTCTGCCTCCAGGGTTCAAGCAATTCTTCTGCTCAGCCTCCCGAGTAGCTGGAATTACATGTGTGTGTCACCAAGCCCAGCTAAATTTGTATTTTTAATAGAGACAGCTTTTCTCCATGTTGGCCAGGCTGGTCTTTAACTGCTGATCTCAGGTGATCCACCTGCCTCGGCCTCCCAAAATGCTGGAATTATAGGCATGAGCCACAGTGGGTGGCCAATAAGTGATATTTTAAAACCTCATTAATATTCTGAAGACGTTATAGTGTCAAAAGTATAAATTATGGCCTATATCAGTCAGTTTGTACTGAATGGAACTATATCAGTTTGGGATTTGTGAATTTAAAATTTAAAATTTTATCTTGAAATACAGTAGGATTGGCCGGGCAAGGTGGTTCACGCCTAAAATCCCATAATCATGCCATATAATCATTTTATATGGATATAAAATGTATAAAATATTCCATAAATGTATGAATTTATATAGTAGGATTTCTGATTCAGATATAGTATTGAAAGTATTCAGCTGTGGATGTTCTGTGGAATAGAGATCTTTTTAAGAAGAATTGATGAGTTTAATCACTGATAATAAAGAAAGACATGAAGAGTCCTTGTCTTTTGCAAGTATGCTATAAAAGATATTTTGGCTCACTGCAGCCTCCACCCCCTGGGTCAGCTTCCCGAGTAGCTGGGATAACCGGCCACTGTGTGCTCCTCCACTCCTATGTCCTTAAACCAGTTTGTCTTCTTACCACCTGTGAGAGTTCTCCTTTGGTTGCTTCCCAGAATTTGTAGTTGTACTTCTCAGGAAGGAGCAGGGAGAAATGAGTCCCTGCCATCTTGTCCAGACTTCAAGTAGCTGTGTATTTTTTTTTTTTTTCTTTTTTTTGAGACGGAGTTTCGCTCTTGTTACCCAGGCTGGAGTGCAATGGCGCGACCTCGGCTCACCGCAACCTCCGCCTCCTGGGTTCAGGCAATTCTC